AGGTTCAGAGACTGGTGATGCTTCTGGTCTCCAGATCCTGTTTTCTCCACCGTGGCCCTGGGCGTTGTGGTTTCAGGGTAGGCCTTTCCTTTGCAGTTCTGGAAGTTAAGTTTTTGTCCTTTTGCAGCTCATTTTCAGCTCATGTGAACCTAATTAGGCCAACGCACTCGCCAGAAATAACCTCTGTCAGTCAGGTTCCCAATAATTCATCAGTGCTTGAAAACTTCCTTTTGTTGCCCAGTGATTTCTGCTTCTGTGGCCCCCTCCCAGGTCAGCTGGGGGAACCAGATTGCTTGGAAAAAGGCAGTTTGTGGGAATCAGGTGAGACTGAGGGCCTGAGGGTGTTAACGGCCAGGGGAGGCGGGGCTCTGCTGACGGGAAGAGCTTGCTTTGTGGCCAGAGGCCTGCAGACCCGCCTGGGTGTACTCACAGGGTTTGGCCTCCTGTAGGGACGTTCCAGTCTTTAGGAACCACACGGGGATAACACTCAGCTGTCATTTCCGGGTCTCCTGTCCCCTGAGGGCAGCAGGTGTAGAAATCACTCCTCAGTGTGGGTTCCTTGGGTAACAGGAGCAAATGGGGGTGTTGATGGTAAGAGCTTGCTGCGTTGCCTGTTCAGGCCTTCATCTGAATCAAGTTTGTAGTCAAAAGGGTGTGACTTTTCCCACAAATTCTGGGGGCATTTTATTCCATCGCTCGATGGATTGGAAACATGAGTTCAAAGCCAACATTTGGAGATGTTCATGAATGTTTACAATGTCCCGTCCCTTGCTGTGTAAGAGGAATGTATTTTGAGCACATTTCCCACATGCCTGCTTATCTCTATGCTCGTTTATACTGCTCAAGAGCCATGTGATAATTCATTTATAGAAAGAAATTGACTTTTCCTAAGGATATCCTTTTCCTAAGGATATTTTTTTTTCCTAAGGATATTTTTGAGGATCCCACAGATTTGAAACTTCTGTTTCATGGTTTGTACTTGAGTGAAGGTGTAATTTGTCACAGAAAGTGATTTAAGTTTTTCATTATGCTACTTGTAATAAAGGGCTTCCCTGGGGGCGCAGTGGTAAGGAATCTGCCTGCCAGTGCAGGAGACACAGTTCTGTCCCTGGGTCGGGACGACCCCCTGGAGAATGGAATGGCAACCCACCCCAGCATTCTTGCCTGGGAGATCCCATGGGAAGAGGAGCCTGGTGGGCTGCAGTCCATGGGGTCACAGAGTTGGACACGACTGACCAATTGAAACAACTTGTAATAAAATACTGTTCTTGACAAGCATTTTCTCCCCCCACCGCCTCAAAACTTTGACTCACTCACTCACTGATGCATGCTTTTTTTTCATTTCTCTCTTTATCTTGATACGCTTGTCTTCTTCCCATCTCTGTCCTCTTTCTGGTAATGTATGGAGTGGGGTGTGCGGGAATGAGGGTTTCAGGGGTCAGCACCTGGGCCAGGTTCAGCTGGACTCTGGCTGGCCCAGCAGGTGTGCTGTCCACTGGTAGCTGTCCTGGAGGCTAGACCAGCTTGAATGGGGCTGAGTCCATTCCAGCAGGGCAGGCTCCAGCCTCAGTGTGCTTATCACATGCCTGCTTGCTTGTTTGCAGACATCTCGTTGGCCAAAGATGTCATATGACCAAGCTGGAGTCAGTGAGAGGGGCTGACTGGACCAGGGCCGGGGTCCAGGGAGCACGGTGAGGGGGAGGGGGTTAACTCTCTGGCACGTGGAGTTAGGGAGCTGGGAAGCAGGGTTTGCTTTGCTAGCTCTAAGTAACGAGTTTGGTGTGTGTAGTTTGTTGTGTTTTGTGTTAGACTCAGTTAGATGAACATTTATTTAGGGTTGAACATAGGCATTCAATGAGTAAGGCAGTCTCTGACTACTCTGAAGTTTGTTCATAAAATGCTCATAATCTCAAATTTAAGCAGAAAATATCCTATCCAAACTTTTATTTATGACTTTGGATAAAAGGACAGGAACTCCTTATACAGATCTGTGTTGGGGCCGGATTTTGCTCTCAGAAAATGCTGTTAGGTCCTTGTAAAAAGGAATGGGTTGCTATGATGACTGGGCTTTGGGCCTGCAAACTGCGGTGACGACACAATCACCAGGGAAACCGAAAGATGCTGCTTCTGAAAGGTCTCTGGAGGCTTTTGTTACCGTTGTCTGGAAGCGATGGGCTTAGAGAATGGTGCTTGGGGTGGGGGCAGAGTGCCGGAGGCTCGCTGTCCTGTGGAGACTTCTAGGATCGGGTACTAAGTGCTGCAGAGATCTCCTGCTTGGCCCTGGGTTTAAAAACAAGGCGAGATTGGGATACTTTCTAAAGTCACTGTGGGGTTTGGCTCTGATAATCATGCTGCTGAAAGAACAGGAAATGAGGTAATGTCTTTAAACTTGTAATGCTACAATGAACTGTAAATGTCTAAATATGGGCAGCTATGCAGCTCATCACTGCATAGTTGTTGTGCTGAGATTTAATGTGACCGGGCATTTCCTGTGTTGGCGGGTGTGACCCTTAAAGGTAGCCGTCAGCATCAAGAGTCTGGAGGCCCCTCCGCCTGCGCGTGCTGGGGGCCGGCTCTGGGCCTTCTGCACCGCCCCCTCCAGGAGGGGGACGAGGTTTGAGCACTTCAGCCGGCAGCCGGCCGCCCAGGAGCACCAGCCCTCACCTGTTACCTAAGTGCTCAGGGCCTGCAGTGTTGACTTGTTCTCTAGGAAAACTTGGAAATCACTTCATTTTGGAGTTAAATCCAGCCTACAAAACTTTAATGTGTTCACACTCTTTTGCAGAAGTGTGCTTGTAGTATTTAGGTTTTCAGTTTGTATCTGTGATCATACATATAAAGGAGCGTCAAAAGTAGTTGAACAATAATTGAAAGAACGACAGACAGATTTCTAAAGTTCTTCACAGTGGTGACAGTTTAGGGCATGTGACTTCTGCAGTCACTGGGTGCCCAGTGACTGTTCAGACAATATTCTAAACTGCCGTGTAGAGCAGGGTGAGATAAAAGACTCCGTCCCACGTGGGGAAGTGGTGTACATTATTTGGGGAGCAGTTGGATTCATCAGCTGGTGAGCATCTTGTATTGACTCCTCTCGTAGGGTGGAGTGGGAAGGACCCTGAGGTCAGTCCTGAGGGGGGAGGTTGGGAAAGCCTTTGCGGTGCCGGAGCTCTCTGACTCCAGAGTTTGAGTCCAGAGCACTTTTCCTCTGAGAGGTTCCCGAGCTTGCAGAACTCGGTCTGTTAGCAAGGTTTCCTGTTGTGTAGCTGTTAACACTGAGGGCTGGTGAAGAGCTAGGTCAGTCACTGAAGTCGCCAGGCTAGGGCCCAAGGTCGCTTATACTTGGGATTATAAGGTACAGTGGGAAACCTCAATATTTCTCCTTTCCTTAGAAAATATCTAGCAGAGAGGAACGGAAGGACCTGACCTTTGATGACTCAGGAGGAGTTAGGGCCCAGCAGCATCCTGGCACGGGGCGGGCGCCAGGGGACAGCACTGAGCTCACCTGCAGGCCTGCCTCAGCATCTGGAGAAGGGCTCTGACACCTGATGGCCCCCTGGACCTTCTCCCCTGGGTGGGGGGATGCCTACAGGCCGCTGCACAGGTCTGTGTCCATTTTCAGGGGATATTCTTATGATCCTCTTTAAAGCCTAATGATGCTCCTAGACTGATTAAGCCTAGTTTCCTTACCCTGGAAAATCATTTTTAGTGACCCAGTTCTGAATGATGGGGGAGGAAAAAAAGATTACACGTGTGAAAGGTGGTTTTCAGTTAGTGCGAGTTGGGCTGTGCCCAGCAGGCACTTAGGCATTCTGCTGACTACTTTTCTGGAAGGTGTTTTGGCAGCATGTGCTGAGATATTTTACAGGGTTCATACTCTATAACTCAGCAATTCTGCTTGTCAGAAATCTCTCCTAAATAAAATTTCAAAGTAGATAAAAGCTTTGTGTACAAAGTTGGTTGTCACAGAGCTCCAGTCATGTCCTGCCTTTGGGGGGGTGGGGTGGATGAAGTGCCTGAAGGCCTCGCAGTGGGACAGAAGTTCATGCATGTTGCTGAAACACTTCTACTTATGGACAGTTTTTCTTTCTTCTTTTTTTCCTTTAGTTTTTTCTCTTTATGAATAGTTTTGAGTAACATAAAGAAATGCTTTTATTAAAATGCATGAAAAAGTGAGATATGACCTATGGTCTCGAATGATGTAAGCATTTTAAAGTAAAAAATCTAGAGGGAACTGTACAAATGCTAACAGTCATTGCTTGTAGGTAGTAGGATTATGGGCTTTTTAATCTTTATTTTTTTGTATATTTCCTTCTTTACAGTAAATATTAGGTATAGAATTGGTGGAGGCAATATGATTCTGGAAAGATGATAGAATGTGGAGATTGTTTGGCAATAGAGACCTAGCTGGTTTGAGAGTCCTGTTTTGTGTAAGCTAAGAATTGACCTTGGACTCAGACTATTCCACTGGACTGGGTGTCAGTGTGGCCAGGCGGAGGCCTGGCATCTTGGAAGACTTGCCGGTGTGTCCTGGCACGTCTCAGTGAACCGCTCGGTGCCTTCAAGAGTGAGGCTCGTCCTGGAGACCCGTGTGGCTTGCTTTGCGGTCCCCTGACGTTGTTTTCCCTCCCGTGATAAATCCCTGGTGTCCGTGTCCCCGCAAGTGGTCCTGGAGCAGAGTGGTGGAGGGACAGCGCAAGCCCCGGCCCTGAGCCGCTGCATCGCCTCCTTCCCCCGCACTCCTTCCCGTCTCCTCCCTCCAGAGGCTTTGGGGCGCCTAGGTCTAAGGCTCTGCCTGGCCTCTTAAGTCACGGGATTAGGAGTGCGGGCTTAGGAACCATTCTGGATTGTGTTTTTGTATGTGATGGTTTTCAGTAATTCTGATTTAGAGAGAGCTCTGGGACCTTTGATTTTAATTCCAGCCTCATCTTTTTCAGGGTACTGATGAAAGAATTTTCACCTGGGAAGTAGAAGTTGCCTCTGAATCTCTTTAGGGCTCACAGATGGATTCAGTGGAAAAGACCACAAATAGAAGTGAACAAAAATCAAGGTAAATGACATCAAGTGCACCTTCACTGGGGTGTATAGCCTCCAGTGTAAAGTTTCTCATGTGTCACTTAGTACCTTCGAGGGCCAGTCGCAGTGGGTTAGGAGATGGTCTCAGAGGCCTTTGCTTCAATGTAAGAAGCGTTCCAGGAGACAGTTCTCTTTCTGCCCAAGGAAGCCACTGTCGCCTGGATTCCGCACCAAGCAGCAGGGAATCAGAGGGTCACCTCTAAGGCTGGAGGGTGTTATGGTTTGCAGGAAAGAAATCTCTGATGATAAACGGGCAGATGATGCCTCCGTGAAGTAACGCAGGAGGAAGTGCTTGCCGGGGGTGGGTCGTGGAGGACCTGCGTTTTGCCAGGGATTTTCTTTTCTGTCCATAATCAGGGATCATTTATCCTCATAGTTTGTATTTACAAGCTCTTGGCAGTTTTTAAAGGAATTTAAACTGCTGAGCTTCTTTGTTTACAAACACGCATCACTCTTATCAACACCATGGGGGACTCGAGATGGACAAGACAGTAGAGTCCCCACGTCCCTTACGGAGTGAGGACTGAGCCAGTGAGATGCATACGGAGCGCAGCACACAGGCTCGCCCTGTGGTCAGTGTGGCGGGGTCGAGGCGTGTGTCCAGCGCGGGCTGTGTTGGACCCGCCGCCTCACGGACGCTCACGGGCTGCAGCGTCTCCCTCGCAGTGGCAGTGCTTCCATGCTGGCTTTCATTCTCCCCCTCTCTTGTTTTTAAGCAGAAAGTTTTTAAAAAGCCTCATCCGGAAACAGCCCCAGGAGCTGCTCCTGGTCATTGGGACGGGCGTCAGCGCAGCGGTGGCCCCGGGGATCCCCGCCCTGTGCTCCTGGAGGAGCTGCATCGAGGCCGTGATCGAGGCTGCCGAGCAGCTGGAGGTGCTGCACCCTGGGGACGTGGCCGAGTTCCGCAGAAAGCTGACCAAGGACGGGGACCTGCTGGTGGTCGCCCATGACCTCATCCGGAAGATGTCCCCGGTAAGTGATTCCAGGTCAGTGCTTCCAGACTCCCTGGGGCAGCTTGGCTCGGGGCCAGGCTGGTGAACCGGGAGTCCAGGGCATAAATGTCTCCACAAGTTGGGCTCACAAGCCAGAAGTCCTTCAGTTCATCAAGATAGCATCCCTTTAAATGAGGGTCCCAGGAACCTTTAAATGGGGGTCCCAGGCTGCTCTGGGGACCAGCCCCATAACGTTGTCCTGGTTCAGCGCGGGCGCGGCCACCAGCTCTGCTTGGGTCTAAGCAGGTCAGCCACGACTCCTCACACGAGAGGTGCGTGCCCAGAGTCTCAGGGAGAGAACAGAGCATCTTTGTCTCCTTGGGATAGGACCCAGCAAGGAAGAGAGGTTGGCGTAGGGCGCGTGCTCGCTGAGTGGTGCCCGGAGCCTGTCTGGCTGGTGCAGAAGTGGGGGAGCTCCCACAGGGCGCGGCCGCGTCATCCCTGAACAGGCTGCCCTCGGAGCGGAGGACATGACTGAGGTCCGAGGCACGTTTCTTCCATTTCTGAAAAAGTATAGCCGTCGTCTCATTTGGGGCGGAGAGATGTAGGAGGATTCACAGAGGAGAAAATGTACCCAGAGAAAGTGCGCGGCTTGACTGCGGTGGTGTTTACACTTTGTTTACACTCTCACGTGAAAGCCGGGGAGGGGCGCAGACCGTGCGGCCTCCGCCTCGCACCCAAGGCCGGCTGCCCGACTCCTGCCTAAGTGACCTGAGCGTTCCGGTGGGGGGAGAGCAGCGGAGGGCCATGCGTCCTTCCTGTGGGGTCTGACGCACCACAGACCAGTCACGTTGTCGCGGCATCTGCCAGAATTTGCCCTGTGGCCGTAGTGACTTTACCAGAGTCTGGGAAGCGCTTCAGCTGGGTGATGGTGCCAGGTGTGGGTGCAGTGTTAAACACGGGGTGGCTCACATCATAGGGGGGTGGCTACTGCTGGTCTGAGTAAACCAGCTTCTGCGTCCGTTTACCTATCATTTAGGGCTGCGTTCATGCTTCCGGACAGCCGGCTACTGGCCGCTGAGCTCGTCACTCGCCGAGCCCAGAGTGGTCTGCCGTCCGGAGGCCCCTCGGCAGGGAGAGAGCAGGGCTTCTGGGCCGGCCCCGGGCCTCGGGCGAGGGTGTCTCCTTGGAGGGGCAGCTCCGATGTGAGGTTAATCAATGTGAGTGTCCGGGGCTTTATCTTTTCTACTTTTTTGTGTATTTTTGAGAACTTCCATAAAGAGCTAAAGTGAGGCCAGAGTGGTGGTGTTCTGTGTTCAGCTGGTTGGGAGCAGGGACGTGGAGTGAATGGGGAGTCAGTTTTCCCAGGTGTGGAGTTCTGCCTGGGGATTCCAGGGGAGCTGGGAAGGGCCAGGAAGTTGCAGGCATTTTTAGGGTAATTGTTGTGACACCTTGTGGAGCCTGAGCCAGGTGCTGGGGTAGGCCGGCGGGGTCATGAGAGATGGGGTCAGTGGTGGGGCTAAGCCTTCCAGGAGCCGGGGTGCTGAGTCGGGCAGGTGGGGGACTTCTGGGAAGAGGCTGGCTATTGGTCTTGCTATGGTTTGGGGTGTGGAGGTCCCCAGAGGAGGCGACGGAGGCGTGCAGACGCTGTGGTGCAGGAAGGGTCGCTGGACGTGGACCCACGTGCGCTGTGACAACGGCAGTGAGAGGGTCTGCCAGGTCTTCACTGGTCAGGAGTGAGGTGCCAGGGACATGGACGCCGGTTCTCAGGAGAGAAGGAGGGGAACGCTCACGAGAGAGTGTGAAGGTGTGGGGGCTCCCTGAGGGCAGTCTCGTGGAAACGGGGGCGGGGGACCGGGGCGTCTGGCAGCGGGAGCCCGAGCTAGGGGACAGGGACAGCCTGGAGGGCAGTGGGTCCTGTGGGCGCTCGTGCGTGCACGCCGCAGGCCCAGGGCCAGGCTGGCTGGGGTGCCCCGGGGTCATGCGGGCCTCCTTGCCCAGCACCCCCACTGCTCTTCAGGTGTCTGCCCGCCTCCCTGTGGGCCCTGCCCGGCGGCTCTACCACGCAGCTCTGCTCAGGGCCCTGGCGACCTCGGCGCTGCATCCCAGGCCCATCCCGCTCCTGACCCCGGGGCTCTGCGGCACCAGCAGCGTGACACAGTGTCCTTCCCTGGAGGCCCGCCGCCAGCCCCGGGCCTCCGTGGCCCCCGAGGAGGGAGAGCCCAGGCGGCCCTGAGGTCTGCAGGACCCACGGGGTATTGTTCCGGGTCACCTGTCTGACCTCACCTGTGCCAGGTGCCCTCGCTCACCTCCTGTCAGCCCCTGCTGGGCGTGCCCTCTCCAGAGCTGCCTCTTCCTCGGCGCTGGGCTCAAAGTCCTGTATCAGTGGTCCTCCCGATGCTCTTTGACCCAGCCACCCTCTCCCCCACAAGGCCGAGCCCCCTTTCTCTGCTCCGCTTTGATAGCGTTGATTGCTGTTGACATTTCACTAACATATTGGCACACTGTCTCCCTCCTCCAGAGTTTTAAAAAGCTCTATGAGGTCAGCAGTTTTCTTTCTTTTATAAAAAATACTACTGTCTCTCTTGTTGTTGAGTCACTCAGTCCTGTCCAACTCTGGGACCTCATGGACTGCAGCACGCCAGGCCTCCTGTCCATCACCAACTCCTGGAGTTTGCTCAAGCTCATGCTCATTGAGTCAGTGATGCCATCCAACCATCTCATCCTCTGTCGCTCCCTTCTCCTCCCACCTTCAGTCTTTCTCAGCATCAGGGTCTTTTTCAGTGAGTCAGCTCTTTGCATCAGGTGGCCAGAGTATTGGAGTTTCGGCTTCAGCATCAGTCCTTCCAATGAACACCCAGGACTGATCTCCTTTAGGATGGACTGGTTGGATCTCCTAGCAGTCCAAGGGACTCTCAAGAGTCTTCTCCAGCTCCACAGTTTGAAGGCATCAAGTATCTCTCTGGCACCTAGACTGTGCTCTCATGCCTGGGGGCTCGGTGGTGGTGGAGAGACGGCGTCTCTGTAACCCCGGTCCTCCTCTCTGCAGCGCACGGGCGACAGCAAGCCCAACTTCTTCCAGGACTGCCTGATGGAGGTCTTCGACGACCTGGAGCGGCACATCCAGAACCCGCTGGTGCTGCAGTCCATCCTGAGCCTGATGGAACGGGGTACCATGGTCCTCACCACCAACTACGACAACCTGCTGGAGATCTTCGGGCAGCAGCAGAGCAAGCCCATGGAGTCGCTGGACCTGAAGGACAAGACCAAGGTGCGGGGCGGGGCGCCCGCAGGCGGAGGTGCGGTGCCAGTGCGTCCTGTGTTGCGATGGCAGTGCGTGTCAAGTCTGTTCCTGCGATTTTTCCTTACTGTCCTACTGTGAGCGTTTCCCCATCATGAAGCCGTCTTCAGAAGCATGGTTTTAGATGGAATTTCATTACGAGAAGAGGTTATCATTGTTGTGAGCGTTTTGCCACAATTATAAATAATGCTAAATGCAAATTCTTACCCTTTTTAAAAGTTCTTAGCAAAACGTTAGGGTCAAAGGGTATGACTGTTTTAAAGACAGATGATATAAATTATCCAAGTGTTCTCCAGAAAGGCTCCCCGCTTACACACCACAGCTGTGGGAGGGTAACCCCCCTTCCTTACCTTTCCAGCCTGTGGCGTTGCTAAAAACCCAGCCTAGTGCATTTCTTCCATTGGATGGGGCGCCCATTTTATGCCTTTATTTCTGTTACTGCTAAGGTTGACCATGGTTTCATCATATCAGCTGAGTTTCCTGTGCGTGTGTGCGCCTGTGGGTTTACACCATCCCTGCCTGTTCTTCCCTCACGGCGGGGGTCGCGGGGTCGGTCCCAGACCCACTCCCCACGCAGGGTCACCAAGGGCCGCTGGGCTGATGCCTCGTGGTGGAGCTCCGGTTCGCGCCCTCCCCTGAATCATTAGTGACACACGACAGGACACCCGCTCCACATCCGAGTCACGTGGCTGCGTCTGTGGGGCGGCTCACTGTGGTACCTGGAGCCTCTCGGAACCGGCTGCAGATGGCAGGGGGCCTTCTCGGGCTGCTCTGCCCGAACGCATTGGTTGGTCTTCAGGTTGGTCTGTCTGTCTGAGGTGGTCAGTCCAGCGCGCTGACGGGAAGGTCCCGGGTGTGAAGATAAAAGGAATGTACGTGACGCACAGCTTCTCCAGGACCTTCATTTTGGGTCTTGAAATAAAGCCAGTAGAGAGCTACTTGATAACTTATTTTTTCTGTATGTACAGGGTGTAAAATCAGTGTATACCTAACTAATTAAAATATGACATGTGATTTAGAACAGAAGCCTTCATAATCTCCCTAAAGTCATCAGTCTTAGCCATTTGCTATCATCTGAAATGTTAAAGATATTTTCTGTGTAAGTGTCTTGGTCTTGAAATAGAGAAATTCTTTTTAATACGGCAGGACGGGAAAGCCAGCCCTGACAGCTGAGTTTCTCTTAGGTTTAAAGAGATAATGATAAATCACAGCATCTCTCCTGCTCACACCGCGGGTAGGTCTGAGAAGCTGTGAGTCGTGTCGGGCACTTTCCCCAGCCTGTGTCCCTCTGTCTGCTTGCACCCCGCCAGGTCCTTCAGTGGGCGCGAGGGAACATCAGGTTCGGAGTTCTTCACATTCACGGCTTGTACACTGACCCTTGCGGGATGGTGTTGGACCCTTCAGGATATAAAGACGTCACTCAAGACCCGGAGGTCATGGTACGCCCTCCCCGACGTGGCCCTGGTTGTGCCCCTGGGGCTGTGTGGGGACCGCTAGCCGCGGGTGGTCTGAGCAGGGTCCAGGGCTCCTGCCCCTCGGCACCTTGAACAGAGGCTCCGTGAACTCGAGCAAGCCTCTTGCCCAGGGATGCGGCTCTGTTTCGGGAGGGCGACTCACAGGCCCAGCCGTGGTTGGGAATGTTCCTCCCTGCTCTTCCTCTCTGTCCATCCGGGCACCTCCTTTCTTTTCTCTACTGAGCAGTGTCTTTCAAAACCTAGTTTTCAAATTTCATTCTCTGCAAGGCTTTTTTGATGTCATAGACGAAAGGAGGTGTGGCGAAACTGCCTCGTGGCTTCCTGTGAACTCACTTTTTATTGCACTTAGAAGCCAAGGGCGTCCTCCCTGATTGCTCTGGAGCTCACGGTCCAGTCCGGCTGCTGCTCCCCAGGCACGGGGTGGTGATGGGCTGGGCCCCTCCGCTGCCTTGGCATGGCCGTGGGCGGGCAGGGGCAGTCCTGGCCGACACTGAGCCTCTCTGGGCGTCTGGGTCGGCGACGCGCCCCTGCGTGCCTGCACCACCCTCTGTGCCCCCGCCTCGGGCACCATCACTGTCCCCCTCAGCCCCACCTCAGCCCCCCTCAGCTCCCCTGCCCTCACTCCCGATGCCAGGCCCTCCCCTCGGAGTTCCCGTCCTCCATTCGCTGAGACAGGTCAGTTCCAGGGACTAGGTGTCTGCACATAACTGAACAGAAGAAAAACTCCATGTCCTTATCGTATGTTTTGAACATTGTAAACTGCATGTGATTCTGGAGGATTTGAATTGAGAGGCTGCGCTGGCTGCAGGGGCGGGGTGGGCGGAGGGGCAGCCGCCGCGCTGATGGGGGCCTGGCCGACACGCTGGCTCCCAGGACGAGCCCCCCCCGCCTTCTGCCCTCCTCACTTGGCTCCTCTGCGGCTCTCGGGAGAGGCCTGTCGGGAGCAGCGATGACGCGGCGTCGCACGCAGGTAACGTGACGCCGTGAGAGCTCGCTCACGGTCGCGAGCCCAGTCTCCTGCTGGGTGCTTTCGCAGGAGGTTCTCCAGAACCTGTACCGCACCAAGTCCTTCCTGTTCGTGGGCTGCGGGGAGACGCTGCGTGACCAGATCTTCCAGGCCCTCTTCCTCTACTCCGTGCCCAACAAGGTGGACCTGGAGCACTACATGGTGGTCCTCAAGGAGGGCGAGGACCACTTCTTCAAGCTCCAGGCAGACATGCTGCTGCATGGCATCAAGGTCGTGTCCTACGGGGACTGCTTCGCCCACTTCCCCGGGTACGTGCAGGACCTCGCCACTCAGATCTGCAGGCAGCGGAGTCCAGGTACGGCTTGTTCTGTTTGGTGGTTTGCTTTTCCACTTTTCAGTGTATAAAACCGATGGGGTTCTTCTATCTTACCCCCTTTTTATAGATATAAAGTAAATGCCATAACATTGAGAAGTAATTTTACATACCATTAGATTCACCAGTCTTCTTTTTTTTTCTAATGTTTCTGTGTACTTAAAAATAGAAAATGGGGGTTATTGGCATGGTAGTAATAGCCTGTAAATTGAGTTTTTTAGTTAAAGCTGTGCGTCTAGTTGTACACGTCCATTCCTGTTTCAGATGGCATGCCCTGCTTCAGATTACCTTAACCGAGAAAGACAGCTGCCCCGCCAGCTCCATTAGCTGTGACCCTGGCAGCCTGCAAACGCAGCTGTCTCACACCTTTATCCTGTCACGCTGCATGTTAAAAAGTTAAAACTGCTGCAGCACAGAACGATTCCACAAAGACTTACTTTCTTTTTTCAAATAACATCTTTTCCCTGTTCTGCTGAAGGCAGCACCCCTTTCAAGTAATTCTTCTCGGCCCTCCCCTGGGGAGCTGATCATCTACCAGGAGTGGCCATGATACATGAGCGCTTGTTCAGCTGGTCATCTTGCCATCAGGGCAGCTTGTGGCTTGTATCATAAAACCATGTATCATAAAACATGGGTGATGGCAGACCCGGAGAGGTCTGTGTGGGCTCACCTGTCCTTGTAATAGGAGACCAGACATAGTCACCCACAGGTGGTGGAAGTAGGGCAAGCACAGTGCTGCCTGGGCATGACCAGCTGTGGACTGGAAGCCTGGAGAAGGCGAAGGCCACGGCGCACAGTGCAAGGGTGATCTGGCAGCTTGGTTTCTCCCCAATGGCCCTTTTCAGAATTGATGGTAATTAGCAAAACGGGCCAATTTAAGTTGCATTTCCGTTAATGAAAGTGTCATCAGGGTGGCAGTTTTTTACTAAGAGAAGGAGCAGGGAGCTGACACTTGCTGTGTTGCACATTGCTATGAATTTTATGTCCTTGACCTTGTTTCATTTTTAGTCACAGTATCCACTGCTACTGGGCTTCCCTGGTGACTCCATGGTAAAGAATCTACCTGCCCTGCAGGAGATGTGGGTTCGATCCCTGGGTCAGGAAGATCTCCTGGAGAAGGAAATGGCAATCCACTCCAGTGTTCTTGCCTGGGAAATCACATGGACAGAGGGATCTTGGGGGTACAGTTGCTTGGGTTGCAGAGTCAGACAGGACTGAGCAACTAAACAACAAATCCACTGCTGCTAAGCAAATGACTACAGGGCTGCTGAGACAAGCTCAGAGAGGTGGCTCAGTTGCCCATGTGTTCTGAAGCTGGATTGGGGTCCTGGACCGACAGCAGTCAGACGTGCCCTCAGGGCGCCCCCACTGGCCTGCCTGCTGACTCGGCAGCAGCTCCTGCCTCCCCTGCTCTCCGAGGACCTCACCCGGGGCTCCCTCCGCATGTGTCCTTGGCAGGTGATTCCTGTCCCCACTCAGGCCCCCTTTCCCAGGCCCTAGCAGCTGAGTGGCTTTGACAGGCTGCCGGGGGCCGAAGGTCGTTTGCACTTAAGAGTCTGTGGCTGTGTCTTTGAGCACGTGTGTGGGGACAGCCTTGAGGTGTCCTCCTGCTGAGAGCAGGAGGTGGGCTGGGGAAAGCGGGGGCGGGGGGGTGGCAGGGACGGTGCCCGGCTGGCTCGGGGGCGTCGTCCCAGGGTGGAGAGGATGGTCAGCAGGCAGGCCCAGCTGCCCCGCGTGCTGAGCGCCCCTCAGGCTGGGCAGGGCCCGCACGTCAGAGCCAGCCTCGCCCGGCTCCGCCGCAGCCGAGGAGGGAGAGCTGTCAGGCGGCTTCTGCTGACTGTTTCCTTTCTTCTCCAGATGCCGATCGAGTGGACAGCACCACGTTGTTGGGTAAAGCAGATCTTGATTTTCACCAGCCTGGTTTTTCTTTACACATTCCACAGTCTTCCTACCCTCACTTACAAAATCAGAGAAGTGTTTCTCACATTAAATACTTAACCTGTGTTGTGTCAGGACAGCCTCATCAGGACGAATAGCAGCACCTTCATGAGGGTCGCTGCCGCCACGAAGGGGTTAAAGAGACAGCCCTTCAACTGCGGGGCTCAGCTCTGTCAGACAGGGGCCACCACTGGCGCCAGGAGTGATGTCCTGTCCTAGAGCCCAGAGTCCAGGGGACTGGAAGAGTCTATTTGTATCACACCATTTGGTCTGAGATGTATTAACAGTTAACTCTTGACCCATTCTCTTCAGACATTTTAATTGCAAAGGTTCTACGTGTTCATGCAAATTTTTCTATTTACTTACTACTTTGGCATGTAAATACGCTTCTTACGGGGCCCAACTCTGCCTGTTTGTAAACTGACAAGCTGTGACTGAACCACCCCTGGTGAATGTTGTGCCAGGCTGCCCCACCTGGCTCAGCCAGTTGGGTCAGAAGGGGCTCCTCTCCGGCCAGTGCAGCAGGGGCCTTGGAGCCCTGGGCTCCTTGCTCATCTCAGCAGGGCCACAGATGGGAACTGGCTAGTGCTGGACAGCTTCGCTTTAGGGATTACTGAAGTTACACTCAGCTTTCCATTTCTAAGTTATTTCTATGTGAAAGGACATATTTATTTTAGTTGCTTTCTCTTGACTCCCAGAATCATCCATCTCTTTTGAAAAAAGCAGTAGCTTGACAGACATCTGTACCTAACCACAGGGATTAGTTGGTAAGCTCTTCAGTAAAATCAGATTTACAAACTGGTCCTTGGAGGGTGAATTCTAGAATAGATAAGTGGTTTTTAAATAAAAATTTTCAATTGAAGTATAGTTGTGGTATGATATTATATGTTACAGGTGTACAGTATAGTGAATAAACATTTTTTAAGTTATGCTCCATTTATAGTTATAAAATACTGGCTGTATCGGGTGTCATACATGCAGCCCTAGAGCTTACTTTACACCTAACAGTTTGTGCCTCTTAACTCTGCTCCTACACTGTCCTTCCCTCCCCACTCCCCATAGTAACTAGTGTTTTTTCCTTTGTATCTGTGAATCTTTTTCGTTGTATTACTAGTTAGCTACATTTTTAAAATTCCATGTGATACCCTACAGTATTTGTCTGACTTAACTTTACTTAGCATAATGCCCTCAAAGTCCGTGCATGTTGCTGCAGATAGCAAAATTTTCTCTTTTATGGCTGAGTAGTATTCCATTTTATGTATACATGTGTACATACACACACCATATTCTTTATCTTCATCTGTTGACATTCACTTGCTTTCATATCTTGGCAACTGAAATCCTGCTGCTGTGAACACTGGGGTGTGTGTATCTTTTCTAATTAAGAGTTTGGGGAGGTTGTTTTTGGATATATACCCAGGAATGGGATTTCTGGATCAAATGGTAATCCTGTTTTTAGTTTTTTGAGAAAGCTTGATAGTTTTCCACAGTGGCTGCACTAGATTAATTCCTACCAACTGTGTATGAGGTTCCCGTTTCTCTACGTCCTTGCCAGTATTTGTTATTCATGTTCTTTTCCATGATAGCCATTCTTAGATAAGCTTTTTAATAAAAGTTTTCATCTTTCAGGGAATGCATGCCAGGACTGTGCAAAGAGGAAGTTAGAAGAAAATGGAATTGAAGTTTCAAAGAAACTCAGACAGTCAGATACAGGTACACGGTCTGCCCTTTCTGGCCACTGCAGGTCGGCGTTGCTTATAGGTGGTTGCAGTCAGTGTTTTGCTTGTGTTCCTGGGCTCTGGGGGAAGGAGCCATGTGTACATTGTTCCGGCTGCCCAGAGACCCACTTTAAACGTTTTCTGTTTAAGTTAGCGTGTTTCTAAAGAAAAACCCGCAAGATGCACACAAAACTTAAGGTCAGCCCAGTGAGTTTTCACAAAGTGAATGAATACACCCATGTCATCACCTCCTGCTCAAATGAAACATTGTCCAGAGCCTGCCCACCCCACTCTCGTCCGTTTTACTCAACGCCTCATCACTCGGGCGGCCGCTATCCGATTTATGTCACTTTAGTGTCTGACCCTCCAGGACACGGTCTTTCCCTCCAGACTCTCTCCTGCTGCTGTCTCCCTGTGTCGGGGGCTCCTCGGTCGCCTGCTGCAGTGTCAGAGGGTGGCCTGGGCGGCTGTCCGCGTCGGCCGTGTGGATGCTGCTGCGCATGGCTCGTCCCAGCCCGGGCCGACCTCCGAGTGGTGTGCGCGCAGAGCACACTGCCTGGTGGGCTTTGCTCAGGAGCCGTGGGCTCACCAGCCCGTGGGCGCCTTGGGGAGGCCACGCCCATACTGGCAGCCTCCTGGCCAGACGGCTCTGGCCGAGTGGAGAACGCCGTCTCGTCTTCCCTGCGTGTGGGTGAGACCCAGGTTCATCCTCTCGGAGCTGCAGGCAGCCCTGTCGTGCACACACCCTGCCAGTCCGCAGGCTCCCGCTGGATGGTGGTGAAACTGCCCCTTCTCCAGCCCACTAAGAAGGGGAGCGGCCTTCCTATTCCTGGGTTGAAATTTCCACAGATCTTTGCAAATCTAATGTCATAACTGACTTTGTCCCCTGATGGTATTTGTAAGTCAGAAAGCCATTTTTAGACAGTAGCCACTGTTTCCATCATGGAGGTATTTTCAAAGTCTTTAGCACATAAGAAAACTGTAAACAGTTTCTGAAATAGAAATCCCATTGCAAATGCTTTTTTAAGATCAACTCTAATGTGGTATTCTTTTCTTTTTGTTGAAACAGATGACGCTGGAGGGTCTTGAAATCTTTAAAACCAATAAAAGCTGCAACTTGAAAACCAGCCTTCTGTAACCACAGTGCCATCCCCTCAAGGACGAATGTTAGAGAACTCCACACAGGCTCTCTCGATCCTAAACCATCAAAGACCCCGAGAGCCAGGCGGGTATCTGCCCTCAGCTGGGTGAGGGAGTCCGCCGCGTGCTAAACTGCCCTCGAGGCAACGCGTGCACACAGCAGGTATCCTGTGTGAGGACTGACAGGACCGCTCCCTCAGGCGCCAGAGCGGCGGGCAGGGACACACCTGGCACTCCCGGCTCCGCGGGACACGCTTCCTTGTGAGGGGGTCTTTCTCCTCCAGTGAAAGGGGGAGTAAAGTCTGTCCAAGCAACAGTAGTTGCCAAAGAGAAAATAGCACACGAGACACTTAAATTTTACAATTTTTGTGTGGAAACATGTTATTGTAGAAAAAACATTAGAAGTATGTTTGTTACACTGTTAACTACTGAAGAAGGAATAGATGCTGGAGGCACTGAGGGAACTAGTCAGGGTGGTGGTTAAGAATGCCTAGATCTGTAGGACTTCTTTGGAGGTCTGTACTCGCAGTTACTTTTTTTTTAAAGAAAGGCAAACCTACCTACTACTAAGAAGTGAAGTCTCCAAGAGGCAGAAGGCCTTTTCAAAAGCACCGGGCAGTGTCCAGGGGCGTCATGTTACAGATAACCAAGAAACTCTTAAGTGGAGCACAAGACCAAGTTTTAAACTTTTAAATCCCAAGCTCTCCTAGCCTTTATTCTAGGGGTTAAGGTCCAGCCTTTCTGTTCTTAATCTCTTTCAAGTCCTCTCCCCACGGCCCGTATTCAAGGATTTGCAGAGTGAAGACTTGACAAAGGTTTGTCGGAACACTATAAACGCCAGGGCTCACGGGGGCAGACAGCGTGCTGGTATCTTGCAGGCTGTGTACTTGTGCCCACGGAGTTGCTCTCTGACCCTGGCACTGGCCCTGCGTGGCTTCTATGCTGAGGCTTCCGTGTTACAGCTCCCCACAGGTTTAGACAAAGGGAAGAACAAGAACCCGGAACAGGGAGTGAGAGAGAAGCCAGAGAGCTCCTTAAGACCTTTTTTTCTTCCTTTTTGAAACATGGAAAACAAATCTTTTATGTTACTCTGGTCAGAAATAAAATTTTATCTTCAACTCTGCTCGTCTTCTCTTTAGTTATGACACAATGTGGTATCATGTATTTAATGAGAATTTTTCCCTTGAATTGTCACTCAGTTGTGAAATTGATTACTTGGAATATTTAAATATTTTTGAAAAGCAAACATCTTAAGTTGGCTTTTAAAAAATTGATACATTTACAGAATGCAACCAGGGCAACATATATGAAAGTTGGTCAGACACAGGATACAACAATACTGGGCTTCCCAGGTGGCTCAGTAGTAAAGAACCCACCTGCCAATGCAGAAGCCGCAAGAGCTGCGGGTTCTATCCCTGGGTTGGGGAGACCTCCTGGAGAAGGAAATGGCTACCCACTCCGGTGTTCTTGCCTGGAGAATCCCATGGACAGAGGAGCCTGGTGGGCTAGTCCATGGGGTCAAAAAGAGTTGGACACGACTTGGCCATTGAGCACGCAGCGATATCAAAGCACAGAAATGACGTGAAGCAGGATATAAAGCTAGAGAAGGGAGAGTCCGCTCAGGATGAGCTTTGAGCGCCACAGAGAGTCAGAGGCCGCCTTGCTACAATGATCAATGTATCTACAGTCAGTTCTGCTGTGATTCTTAGTTTACGATGGAAATTTATCCCAGCATGCTTGATATACTAGAAGCAATCTAAGCATAGGCTTCCCTGGTGGCTCAGCGGTAAAAAACCCGCCAGCAATGCAGGAGCTGCAGGAGACCCAGGGTTTACTCCCTGGGTCAGGAAGATCCCCTGGAAGAGGGCATGGCGCCCACTCCAGTATTCTCACCTGGAGAATCCCCATGGACAGAGGGGCCTGGTGGGCTACAGTCCATTGGGTCGCACAGAGACACAACTAAAGCGACCTAGCACACCTGCACACAGGTATAATTTCATCTCTGAGAAAGTGGGTCAGGAAGTGACTAAGTATGGCTTTGTTTGCTGCCTCAAGCTAGAATAGTTTTTACATTTTGTATTAACTATTTAGTGTGTATAAACCCAGTTATTTATTAAGCTCCTGTCTCTTTATTTGGGGAGTGGGGGGCACGGTTTCCCATCACCCTGAGGTTCTCACTGTGTGCTTCTGCATGGCATGAGGGTTTTCAGGAGTACGGGTATACCGCGTTACAGTAGAACAGTGATGTACTCTGAAGGATCAGTGGCACTTCATGAGTCCGAGTTACGAGAGAGAATGGCCCAGGCAGAGATCAGGGTCTGCACTGAGCCTGTGTGGTGCTGAAGGGGCAGTTCAGTGTTAGGTGCTGTCTGTCAGGAAAGAAGGCGGTGGTTTAGATGGTGTTCCCACCACTGAAAAAGGAACAGAGGACAGCTGCAGTGGCACCTGAGGGCGCCAGTTCTTAGGTACAGACAGCAAGTGTTTTGTGACTTGACTTCTTAGGCACAGAGTGCATTTTGTTTTCCTGAAATAATATTGTTCAAAAGTGACTCACTCCATTACTTTAGGAGGCCACTCCTTGATTAAATGGCACTTGGGCCCAAAGCAGCCTTAAATATAAGACCACTGACCACCATCACCTTAGTATTCTTTAATTCCATTTTTTAAATGGAAATGAAGTGTTATTGAAAACTAAAACTTTCTTTCCTATTCCTAACAGTGCAGAGAGGGTCCACTGTATCCTTGGGCTACATATCTGTAGACTCAGCCAAACTTGGATTGAAAATAGGAAAGGGAATTTCCTGGTGGTCCAGTGCTTAAGACTGTGCAGGGGGCACAGGTTCAATCCCTGGTCAGGGGACTAAGATCCCACAAGCCACACCACATGGCCAAAAAAAAGGAAAAGAGTTGAGAAAAGATGTTGAAAAGTTCCAAAAAGCAGTACTTGAGTTTGCTGTGTACAAGCAACTAGTTACATAGTATTTACATTAACATTAAGCATTATAAATAATAGTAGAGATGATCTGAAGTATATGAGAGGATGTGCATAGGTTATATGCAAGAATTATTACACCAATCTGTGTAAAGGACTTGAGTGTGCTTGGATTTTGAGATCCATGATGCCCACAGATAAGGACGACTGCTTCCCTGTGAAGTCAGTGTTAACTGGGAAAGCCTGTGTTCTTCAGTGTTTCCTTAACAGAAATTATATTCAGAGAACTTTAAAAGGCATAGAAGCAGACATAATTCAATTTCATCTTAAAATTTTTTGTGTTCCTAAAATTGCAGATTGTAGACATTTGAAATTAGACTTTTTTATTGGCATTTTCAATATTGACTTCAGTTCCTCTGAAATAACTTTCCATGAAACAGTTTCAACACCCTGTAACTATTTAAAAATTATGAGTTTCCCTTAAAGATTACTTAAAACATACAAGACAAAATCAGAGTAAAGATGATGCAGGATTCAAAATTTTCTGACCGGCTTTCAGAATGCAAGTTTAAACTGTGGTGGTTTCTTTGTTAAAGTCAATCAAAGCTGACTCTCATGAGACACATTACCTACTGGAGTAGGGCCTGGACACTCCTTCACAGAGGTGAGCTGCAGCATCTTTGCCTGTAACAGTCAAGCTTTTCCACAAATGGCACAAAGGCTGCCTAGCTTCTGCTCCAGAAGCAGTTTTGGTCTGAACTGAACAGACTGGCCTGAGCACTGCGTGGCTGCTCCCAGCTCAAGGACCCTCTAGGTCCTACAGGAACTTGCGCTGTCTCCTGCTGCTTTCTCTGCCTTCAGTATCTGGATACTGAGAAAGATCTAGGGTCAAAACTCGGCTGAACATGCAGTCATCGTGCTGAAATGGAGAGAAGACAGTTAAAAGTCAGTGCCAGCAGAGAGTAAGTGGTATTAAATGTAAAGTAAGAGCCAGTAGTGAGTCTGGATTTGCATTTTAAAGGAACCTCCTTATAGCCATCTGAGAAGGTGTTACTTCTGCATTTCCATCAGCTTTATGTTTTGTTTTTGGTTAAGGGTACCACAGTACTCCACCCAAAAATATGCCTCTTTTGCATGTGGATTGTTTTGAGCCAGAGGCTACTGAGAACCAGCAGATACAGGAAAAGCTCTAAAAGCTGAGCACAAGTTTCCCTTTTGTAAAAGGTGACATCCTCTGCACTCTGAACTCTTCCTCACTGGAGAAGGCACTCAGTCAGCAGAGCAAATCCGACTGACCAGTCTGGCTACTATGCTTCCTCGGGTCACTGTCCCATTGCTTGCCTTCCCTTCCCAGAAGCCCCAAGGGCCTTTTGCTTATTTTAGCCAAGGGTGGGCTACAAGTCCAACTTCTCGCCCCTCTGAGTTACTCACTGCTGGGTATGCCCATGCATACGCACGATGCACATTAATGACCCGTCTGGTGTGACTGACAGGGCCCAGCTGAGACCTGGGTTCACCCCTGAAGAGTTCGCCCCTCCCCTACACAGTAGTGAGAACTTCCACTTCTCTCAGGCAGCATGCTTCCAGTGACCCCCTGACATTAATTAGGCACAGGAAGGGAAATTTATTTTATTTTGGGGGGAAATTTATTTTTAATCTTAGCTTTTTTTTTTCCAGTTTTTTAAAAAAATTCATTTTTATTGGAGTACAGTTGCTTTAATTTTTATCTTAAAGGAAAACTCAGGAAGTAAAACCTAATAATTGTTCAAGAACTGAATGATCTGAATTGAGTTGCTCTGCTGCATTAGCTCAGCTAAGTACTTTCAATGGCTTAAGAAACTGAATTACAGAAATTACTATACAATTTGGAACTTTGTCAAATTCTTTTGTTTTTTCTTTTAGTAGTTTTGGAAGAGAAATGGTTCCTTGTTAGTTCTACAACAGTGCATTTGTTGTTGCTAAAACATTCAAACATAGAAATATGGAAGATAATATCAACAGTTTACTCTGTGTAAGT